AAGGAAATGCGCACTAACACACTCTTTCAACAAAGATTACACAAAAAGAAAATACAGACAATAAATATTTTTCTTATCACAAAATATAAACAATAACTGCCAGAACCCGCAATGGCTCTAGAGAGGCAGTAAAAAAAATACAACAAAATAAATAAACTTCTCAATTCAACGAAAAATAAATAAACTTATTACAAAATATAAAATGACTGCCAAAACCAGCAATGGTTATAATACGACAGTATAAAGAAAACACATATATATATATATATATATACACATATATATAAACAAATCAAAAGAAAGAAATCAAATAAAATATAAATGCAAATTTAATCTAAATTGGAATCAAAACAAACAAACCAAAAGAAAACAAACCCAGGAAACAAACTTCTTAAATCAACAAAATTATAAAATAAAGCCCCAGCCCCTTGAGCTATTCACATGTCATAAAAACAATAGCATTCATGGAACAAATGCCACATACTTTTGGCCAGACAGCCAGAACTACCCAGTGGCCGTGATAGCAAGACGAGCGTACAGTGATCTACTCCACTCGCTGATACGCTATTTACACAAACAAGGCAGTGGCCCGGGCGAAGCGGCACGTATGCCAGTCAGACAGAGACAGACAAAACAGATGTACACGAAGCAGTACCTCAAACATAGGCAACAATGCACAATATAACCGCAGGCAAAACGGCAAAAGCAATAACAAAACAGAAAACAAAACAGCAGGCAAGACAAAACAGCCGACCAAACAGCAGCCAGCGAACCGGTCCTGTGCAGCTAGCGATGATCTCCGGCTAAACTGGCCTCATTCCTGTTAGCCATCATTCAGACATACCCAAGGGAGAAAGCTCGACGAGTGCCCACGGCACTGATAATACAGTGTGTTCAGTGGTTCAATAAATTGAACGACGAGATGAAAGTTCGTCCATCCGACCGGAGATCTGTTGCACAGCACAGGACCGCACACGGAGAGCGAGGCCAGGAAACACAACACAACTTCCTGTCACCAATGAGCAAGAGAGGGCGTCAGAAGGATTACTCGCTATTTATAGGGCGGAGCTTCACACGGGGAGTGGCCAAAGAAATGCCAGTTCATTACACTAACTCATACTGCCACACTAGAGAGAGTGTTTGTTTGGAAGAGCTGAGTTTTGAGCTTTGTTGTAAAACATCCTCTTAACGAATAAGGAGTGTTTATCTGTTTATTTACTCCCCAAACGGCTTTTGCTGTTTGGGGATAAATATTTTGTCTGAAAATGCAAACTGACAACATGGAAAAGGGAAGAGTATTGGACAAGCGGAATGTGAGCGGGAATGGCGGTGAAGATGAACAAAGAAGGAGGAATTATGAGAAGCGGCTGACAGTGCTGGTGGAGATAGAGAGAGAGGACAGAATCACCATGATGGAGCTGTTGAAGAAAGTAAGAGAGGAATGTGGAGTGGTGATCGGATGCAGGTACAAAACTCCGAGAGAATATGAACTAACAATGGAGGAGAAAGGAAAGGAGAAAATACTGGATGGATTAAAGATAAAAAAATATGTGGCGTTCTAAACCAGGACAGACTAAACACCGACTACGCCACCCTGGGAATTTCACCCAGAGAATGATTTTACTACCCAAGCTCTATAGATCTAACAGCTAAGGACACACAGGTACGTATACAATACAGCCAAAGACAATGTTCAATTTTGAAGGGGCACCATTTATTGTATAAATAATTTAACACTTAAAAACAGTCATCTCTCAGGGAAGAGAACACAAAAAAAGAAAAAAAGAAAGAAACTTATAATTGCTGAGGCTTACCGATGGAGGAAAAGGAGTCAAAGGCAGCAAGAGATCCCATGAAAAATCCCCCAGTAAACACACAAACACACCCCAGTGAACACAAATGCAAACAGGGAAGTCAACAGCACTCCAGACGGGGACACTACCACCCAGACACCAATACCACCACCGGCTCTCAGCTGTAACAAAAAAAGAGAAAATGAAACACGCACACACACACTCCACCAAACATTCACCAAAAGAACAAAAAATACAGAAAATCAATATTTTTCTTATCACAAAATATAAACAATAACTGCCAGAACCCACAATGGCTCTAAAGAGGCAGTAGAAAAACAACAACAACAAAAAATAAACAAAATAGATAAATTTTTATAAATTCAGTAATCAGAGAAATCAAAACAAAGAATAAACTTATCACGAAATAAGCAATAACTGCCAAAACCAGCAATGGTTATAAAACGGCAGTATAAAGAAAACTATATATATATATATATAAATCCAATAATCAAAAAAAAGAAATCAAATGAAAGAAATACAATTTTAACTTAAATTGAAATCAAAACACACACAAAAAAAAAAACAGAACAAAACAACCAAACTTCTTAAATCAACAAAATTATAATATAAAGCCCCAACCCCTTGAGCTATATTCAAATATCATAAAAGCAATGGCCCACATGAAACAAACGGCACATACTTTTGGCCAGACAGCCGTAACTACCCAGTGGCCGTGATAGCAAGGCGAGCGAACAGCGATCTACTCCAATCGCTGATACCTGCTCAGTAACGTTGTTTGCACAAACGAGGCAGTGGCTCGGGCAAAGCGGCACGTATGCCAGACAGAGATATAGACAAAACACGGAAGTATATACAAAACAGCACATTAAACATAGGCAAAATGCACAATATAGCCGCATAGGCAAAAAGGCGAAAGCAAAACAGCAGCCAGCGAATCGGTCCTGTGCAGCTAGCGATGATCTCCGGCTAAACCGGCCTCATTCCTGTCAGCCGAGGGAGAAAGCTCGACGAGTGCCCACGGCACTAATAATGCAGTATGTTCAGTGTTCAATGAGTTGAACGACGAGATGAAAGCTTGTCCATCCGACCGGAGATCTGTTAGCACAGCAACGCACACACAGATCGAGGCCCGGAAGCACAACACAACTTCCTGTCACCAATGAGCAAGAGAGGGTGTCAGAAGGGTTACTCGCTATTTATAGGGCGGAGCTTCACAAGGGGAGTGGCCAAAGGAACGCCAGTTCATTACTCATACTGCCACAAATAGTAGAATTATGGCGAAAGAAATATCCAGCACTGAGTTGGTGGTTTCATTCCTGGGTCTGCCTACGTACATCCAGGATGAGGCAATAATGAGAAAGCTGACAGAATGGGGAGTGACGGCGGTCTCAAGAATAAAGAGGAGAATGTGGCCAGGGACTGACATTGCTGCTGGAACAAGATTTTTAAAAGTCAAGTTAACTGATACGGTCAAATCATTGCCATATTTCTCAAAATATAAGACGATAGGCGGAATGGAGCACTTCCGGGTCATACACGATAGGCAGGTGAAGGTGTGTCGCTTGTGCATTCAACCGGGGCACATAGTGAGAGACTGCCCAAGCTTCATGTGCTTCAAGTGTAATAAGCAAGGACACTATGCTTGAGAATGTAAGGAGGGGATTTGCAAAGAGTGTGAAATGAGGCATGTACTGTGTGTGTGCGTGGACTATAATGCATGAAATGGAAAATCCAATGTTTAATGAAAATGTGTGTGATTGGTGGGAAATAATGAAAGGGAAAATCAAAAAAAGAAGTATTAGATATTCAAAGCAAAGGGATTTCATGAGAAGGAGTAAAGTAGAATCCATGGAAAATGCATTGAAGAAGGAAGCGGAGAAAATAGAGAGTGATCCTAAGCATGGAAAAGAATGTTTCTTGCAGATAAAAGCAGAAATAGAGGAGTATGAAAAAGAAAAAAGTAAGGGTGCAATAGTAAGGAGTAGGGCACAGTATGCGTTGGAGGGAGAAAGGAGTACAAAGTTCTTTCTGAACTTAGAGAAAAAAAAGCAGAGAAAAAATCATATTATGGAGCTGGAAAATGAAAAAGGTGTAAAAGTAACTGATTATGTGGAGGTAATAAGTGTAGTAGAATCGTTTTATAGGGAATTATTTAAGAAAGAAGGTGTAAAACAGGAGTGTGTGGATGAAGTTTTAAATACTGTAAGTGCTAGGTTAAATGAAGATGATAAGAATATGTGTGAAAGAGATATAGGCATTGAAGAAATAAAAGAAGCAATAAAACATACAAAAATGAATAAAAGCCCGGGAGCAGACGGTGTAACACATGAGTTTTAAAAGACTTTTGTTGATATTTTAGCACCAATATTTTGTAAGCTGTATAGGAGTATGGAAGAGAGAGGGGAAATGCCAGAATCAATGGGAGTAATTACCATCTTGTACAAAAATAAAGGAAGTCCACTTAAGTTGGAAAATTATAGACCGTTGAGTCTGTTAAACACAGACTATAAAATCTTAACAAAAGTATTAGCCAATAGAATAAAAAAGGTAGTAGGGACAATAATATCACCAAATCAGGCATACAGCATAATGGGAAGAGATATCACAGACACAATCTGTACAATAAGAGATGTAATAGAAAACATGGGGAAGGATGGGGAAGGGGGTTTGATTGTATCTATGGATTTAAACAAAGCGTTTGATAGGGTAGAGCACAGCTTTATGGAGCAAGTAATGAGAAGATTTGGATTTGGGGAGAGGATTCTAAGGTGGTTAAAGCTAGTATATGATAATGCAAAGAGCTGTGTGAAGATTAACAGGGTTTTAACTGACCCCTTTCCTTTAGAGAGGTCAGTCAGGCAAGGATGTCCGCTGTCTGCCTTGCTATACTCAATAACAGCAGAACCTTTGGCAACACTGATTAAAGGAGATAAAGAGATAAGAGGAATTCAAATACCATATGGGGGAATGAGCATAATTCATCAGTATGCAGATGACACCACATATGCAAAAACGATGTGATCATCGCAACTGGCCCACCTTTACAGGTACTCTGCCCTGCCCCATCTGTGAGCCAGTGGCATCGCTCTCTCCTCTCCTTCTCTCCTCCTTCCAAGCACCAACCTTCTCCCTGGGCCAGCTCAAGGCTTGGTTGCATCTCTCAACACTACAAGAGTTAGGTGGCTACAGCCGGTCATCAGATGGGCACCCCTGTTTCCTGGCCATCCCTTCAATCCCCAACAATCCGAGTGTTCTCCAGAGCGACTGTCCCGCAAAACCTCTGCAGCCGACCTCTACTGGTAGATTCCAGGCCTTCCATCCTTTTTGCTGACTCTCGAGGATAAGGCCTTGATATTTTTTGAGCTTACGCTCATGTGCCTCCTCCATCCTTTCTTCCCAGGGTACAGTTAACTCTATGAGCACCACCTGCTTGGTACCTCTAGACCAGAGTACAATATCTGGTCTGAGGCTAGTGAGTGCTATCTCCTCCGGGAATTTGAGCTGCTTTTTCAGGTCTGCCCACATCTCCCAGTCATTTGCTGAGGCCAGGACCCCTCTGCTCCTCCGTACCGCTGCAGTGCTCTCTCCTGTCCTGACGAAATGGATAAAGTGGTGCCCATCAGAAAGCCATTTACGATTCTTCCTTGCCTGTTCCACACCATCCGCCAACCGAGACAGGATCTTATCATGACGCCACCGGAATTTCCCGTCTGTCAAACTTGACCGGCATGCTGAAAGGATGTGCTCAAGATTGGCTGTCTTTCCACACAGCGTGCAGCTGGGGTTCTCTGCTATCCCCCAAATATGGAGGTTTGATGGGGTAGGCAGGACATCATAGACAGAACACATCAAGAACTTTATCCGACGTCCTTCCATGGTCCAGATCTCCTGCCACGTCAGGGCCCTTTCTTGCACGCCCTCCCACCTTGTCCAGCTGCCCTGTTTTTTCATAGCAACAGCCTTGACATGCCGGGTTTCCTCCTCTGCTTTACGGACCTCCCTCTGCACCATGCCGCGACGTTCTTTTGGGTCAGCTTTTTCCCAGCTTACTCTGGTGGAGCAACCCAGTCCAAGCCTGCCCAGAGCTACTGTCCCAACGATGTCAGCATGATGCAGTCGATCCTCAGCCTCCGTCAATGCTCTGCTGGCTGACCATTTACGACCTGTCCTGACCACAATACCTGCTTGGCGTACTCTTTCGTCTTTGCTGTCTCGCAGCATCATGGCCTGGCGTGTCTTTGTCGCCTTATACTCCTCGACCACTGATGTTACTGGCAGCTGCAGCTTGCTGCCTGTGCTATACAAGCCAATGGAGCAGAAGCTTCTTGGGACGCCCAGCCACCTCCTCAAATAGGTGTTAATCCTCCTCTCCAATCCCTCGACGATAGAGACAGGTACCTCATAAACAAGCAATGGCCAGAGCAGCCTAGGAAGTACCCCGTGTTGGTAACCCCAGGCCTTATACTTGCCGGGTAGGCCACTCTTCTCTAGGGATGTCATCCAGGTATCTACTTGGATAATCATCTCCCTCACACTCTGCTTATCGTTGAGGTCTGCCCTGTACCATTTCCCCAAGCTCTTCACCGGTCTCTCTTGGACCGTTGGGATGATGGTATCTTTGATCCTGAAGCGGAACCGGTCCTGAATACGCCCCTTCCTCAACACCAGGCTTCTGGACTTTTCTGGTTTGAAATCCATCCTTGCCCAATTGGTGAGTTCAACCAGATCCTCCAAGATCCATCTCCCTTCAGGTACTGATTTTGCCGTGATGGTGAGGTCGTCCATAAATGCTCTTATAGGTATCTGCTGGATGCCACTTGCCAACACTGCGCCTCGACGCAACTTCTCTGCTGATTTAACGAGAAGGTTCATCGCCGCTGAAAACAAAATCACTGAGACTGTGCATCCAGTGACAATGCCCACCTCTAGCCTCTGCCATTCTGTGGTAAAGTCTCCACAGGAGAAGCGCATGTTGAAGTTGTCATAGTAACGCTGCAAGAGCTTCTGGAATCGCTCTGGGACATGGTAGGTCTTCAACGTCAAATGCACCAGCTTGTGGGGTATCGTCCCAAATGCATTTGTTAAATCCAGCCACAGAACTGCAAGGTCACCACGGTTCTTCTTTGCATCTTCGATAATCTTGGTGATCATGCTGGTGTGCTCAAGACAGCCTGCCACCCCTGGAACTCCCCCTTTTTGGACGGACGTGTCCATGTACCCGTTGTCCATCATAAAGGTGGTCAGTCTCTTCGCCAGAATCCCAAGAAAAATCTTGCCTTCAACATTAAGGAGTGAGATGGTACGGAATTGCTTAATCCCCATAGAGTTTTCTTCCTTAGGGATGAAGCATCCCTCAGCGACCAGCCAACTATCAGCAAGGAAGTCCTTCTTCCATGCAACTCTCAGTAACTTCCAAAGTCGTCTCTTAAGCCTTTCACAATACTTGTACACCTTATATGGAATGCCATTCGGCCCTGGGGCTGATTTTGCTCTGGCCTTCCTGAGAAAGGTGTTCACCTCCTGCCAGCTCGGTTCCTCAGCTCTAAAGGGGGTAGCTGGTTCTGCTGGTTGTATGAGTTTCTCCATCTCCTCCAGACTGTCCTCCCTTCTGGGGTCACTGTGGACCTGACGAAGGTGCTCCTCCACCTCCTCCTTTGTTGCTTTCAACTCCCCTGATCTTACATCGCCCAGAAGTTTTGACAGATATTTGAAAGGATTCTTGGTGAAATCTGTCCTCTCCTTCATTCGTCGCTTCCTGTCCCTACGGTGACATTCAGCTCTTCGCAAGGTCTTAATGCGCTCCCTCAAGTTGTCACGGATTTCCTTGAGTGCTGGTCTCTCATCCCCTGCTGCTTCACGAAATGCCTTCCTCAGCCTCCGCAGATCCCCTCTAAGGATTGCTATTTCCTTCAAGCGTCTGCTTTCCTTTGGCTGGGTGTTTGTTTTAGCCTTCAGCTCTTTCTTTCCGAAGCGATCAGCGCCTATGCTCCAAATAATGGAAGCCATAGCCTTGAGCTTCTTGCCCACATCTCCTGCCAAGGCCGTTTCCAGCACGTCATCCACATCATGATCAAACCTCTCCCACTCCTTCCTTGCCACTGCAGCGGGCCAGTTCACTGATTCCTTTCGGGCCACTCCTACCCATATGTCCTGTCCAGGTCGTCTAATGTCCTGTGTACCCTCCATCTCTGTCTGGTGCTTTGTGTCCTCTGACACATCAGTGATGCCGTTCCTACTCCCGTCTTCATCGTGTGCCTGGAGATTCGGGGGACTGTGGTTTGCCTCCTGCCCCGGCCTCTCCTCCGTCTCACCAGGTTTCCCTGTGCGTTGCACATTATGTTCCGGTTGCAAGCACTTCATCTTTGACTGATGTATCTTCAGACCCCTCCCATTTTTACATATCTTACCACATCTGCAGACCCGGGATAAATCGTTTACCTGTTCCATTGTCGAAAGTCCATCATGAGTGGTCATACCAAAGGTCTGTCCTGTGGGCCGATCATCCTCCCCCGCTCTCGCTCGACCCTGGGGGTGTCTTATAATGTACCTTTCCATAGCGATTAGCAATGGGTCCCTCCTCGCGAAGGTTGTGCTTCGGCCTGCCAAACCTCCACACCCCAGTTTTGGTCTTTCCCAAATGTCAGCAGTCTTTCCTAGCTGTCACCGTTCTTCCTCGGTCGCCAACTTGTCTTTCCAAGTAGTCACCGGGTCAACCAGAAAAGATATGCAAAAACGATGTGATCATCGCAACTGGCCCACCTTTACAGGTACTCTGCCCTGCCCCATCTGTGAGCCAGTGGCATCGCTCTCTCCTCTCCTTCTCTCCTCCTTCCAAGCACCAACCTTCTCCCTGGGCCAGCTCAAGGCTTGGTTGCATCTCTCAACACTACAAGAGTTAGGTGGCTACAGCCGGTCATCAGATGGGCACCCCCCTTCCTTGGTGTTTCGTCGATTTAAGCCCATAACACCTCGGGAGGGCTCGACAGTAGATCCAGCGTCCTGGATCTACCCCTGCTGACCACCACCCAACTCTATGCCGTTTTTGGTCCTTCAACAGGTTTGCTCTGCCACCGCACCTCCCGCTGTATCCAGATCCAATTTGATGCTGTTTCCGCCTGTTCAGTGACATTGCCTATCAGCTCCCCCTTTTTGGACGGACGTGTCCATGTACCCGTTGTCCATCATAAAGGTGGTCAGTCTCTTCGCCAGAATCCCAAGAAAAATCTTGCCTTCAACATTAAGGAGTGAGATGGTACGGAATTGCTTAATCCCCATAGAGTTTTCTTCCTTAGGGATGAAGCATCCCTCAGCGACCAGCCAACTATCAGCAAGGAAGTCCTTCTTCCATGCAACTCTCAGTAACTTCCAAAGTCGTCTCTTAAGCCTTTCACAATACTTGTACACCTTATATGGAATGCCATTCGGCCCTGGGGCTGATTTTGCTCTGGCCTTCCTGAGAAAGGTGTTCACCTCCTGCCAGCTCGGTTCCTCAGCTCTAAAGGGGGTAGCTGGTTCTGCTGGTTGTATGAGTTTCTCCATCTCCTCCAGACTGTCCTCCCTTCTGGGGTCACTGTGGACCTGACGAAGGGGCTCCTCCACCTCCTCCTTTGTTGCTTTCAACTCCCCTGATCTTACATCGCCCAGAAGTTTTGACAGATATTTGAAAGGATTCTTGGTGAAATCTGTCCTCTCCTTCATTCGTCGCTTCCTGTCCCTACGGTGACATTCAGCTCTTCGCAAGGTCTTAATGCGCTCCCTCAAGTTGTCACGGATTTCCTTGAGTGCTGGTCTCTCATCCCCTGCTGCTTCACGAAATGCCTTCCTCAGCCTCCGCAGATCCCCTCTAAGGATTGCTATTTCCTTCAAGCGTCTGCTTTCCTTTGGCTGGGTGTTTGTTTTAGCCTTCAGCTCTTTCTTTCCGAAGCGATCAGCGCCTATGCTCCAAATAATGGAAGCCATAGCCTTGAGCTTCTTGCCCACATCTCCTGCCAAGGCCGTTTCCAGCACGTCATCCACATCATGATCAAACCTCTCCCACTCCTTCCTTGCCACTGCAGCGGGCCAGTTCACTGATTCCTTTCGGGCCACTCCTACCCATATGTCCTGTCCAGGTCGTCTAATGTCCTGTGTACCCTCCATCTCTGTCTGGTGCTTTGTGTCCTCTGACACATCAGTGATGCCGTTCCTACTCCCGTCTTCATCGTGTGCCTGGAGATTCGGGGGACTGTGGTTTGCCTCCTGCCCCGGCCTCTCCTCCGTCTCACCAGGTTTCCCTGTGCGTTGCACATTATGTTCCGGTTGCAAGCACTTCATCTTTGACTGATGTATCTTCAGACCCCTCCCATTTTTACATATCTTACCACATCTGCAGACCCGGGATAAATCGTTTACCTGTTCCATTGTCGAAAGTCCATCATGAGTGGTCATACCAAAGGTCTGTCCTGTGGGCCGATCATCCTCCCCCGCTCTCGCTCGACCCTGGGGGTGTCTTATAATGTACCTTTCCATAGCGATGAGCAATGGGTCCCTCCTCGCGAAGGTTGTGCTTCGGCCTGCCAAACCTCCACACCCCAGTTTTGGTCTTTCCCAAATGTCAGCAGTCTTTCCTAGCTGTCACCGTTCTTCCTCGGTCGCCAACTTGTCTTTCCAAGTAGTCACCGGGTCAACCAGAAAAGATATGCAAAAACGATGTGATCATCGCAACTGGCCCACCTTTACAGGTACTCTGCCCTGCCCCATCTGTGAGCCAGTGGCATCGCTCTCTCCTCTCCTTCTCTCCTCCTTCCAAGCACCAACCTTCTCCCTGGGCCAGCTCAAGGCTTGGTTGCATCTCTCAACACTACAAGAGTTAGGTGGCTACAGCCGGTCATCAGATGGGCACCCCCCTTCCTTGGTGTTTCGTCGATTTAAGCCCATAACACCTCGGGAGGGCTCGACAGTAGATCCAGCGTCCTGGATCTACCCCTGCTGACCACCACCCAACTCTATGCCGTTTTTGGTCCTTCAACAGGTTTGCTCTGCCACCGCACCTCCCGCTGTATCCAGATCCAATTTGATGCTGTTTCCGCCTGTTCAGTGACATTGCCTATCAGCCGTTTCCTGGCCATCCCTTCAATCCCCAACAATCCGAGTGTTCTCCAGAGCGACTGTCCCGCAAAACCTCTGCAGCCGACCTCTACTGGTATATTCCAGGCCTTCCATCCTTTTTGCTGACTCTCGAGGGTAAGGCCTTGATATTTTTTGAGCTTACGCTCATGTGCCTCCTCCATCCTTTCTTCCCAGGGTACAGTTAACTCTATGAGCACCACCTGCTTGGTACCTCTAGACCAGAGTACAATATCTGGTCTGAGGCTAGTGAGTGCTATCTCCTCCGGGAATTTGAGCTGCTTTTTCAGGTCTGCCCGCATCTCCCAGTCATTTGCTGAGGCCAGGACCCCTCTGCTCCTCCGTACCGCTGCAGTGCTCTCTCCTGTCCTGACGAAATGGATAAAGTGGTGCCCATCAGAAAGCCATTTACGATTCTTCCTTGCCTGTTCCACACCATCCGCCAACCGAGACAGGATCTTATCATGACGCCACCGGAATTTCCCGTCTGTCAAACTTGACCGGCATGCTGAAAGGATGTGCTCAAGATTGGCTGTCTTTCCACACAGCGTGCAGCTGGGGTTCTCTGCTATCCCCCAAATATGGAGGTTTGATGGGGTAGGCAGGACATCATAGACAGAACACATCAAGAACTTTATCCGACGTCCTTCCATGGTCCAGATCTCCTGCCACGTCAGGGCCCTTTCTTGCACGCCCTCCCACCTTGTCCAGCTGCCCTGTTTTTTCATAGCAACAGCCTTGACATGCCGGGTTTCCTCCTCTGCTTTACGGACCTCCCTCTGCACCATGCCACGACGTTCTTTTGGGTCAGCTTTTTCCCAGCTTACTCTGGTGGAGCAACCCAGTCCAAGCCTGCCCAGAGCTACTGTCCCAACGATGTCAGCATGATGCAGTCGATCCTCAGCCTCCGTCAATGCTCTGCTGGCTGACCATTTAACATTTACAGTCAAGGATACAGAGAGCAGAAAAAGAATAAGGAAACATATGGAAACATACGGAAAAGCGTCAGGTGCAAAAATAAATGTAGATAAATCAGAAATAATGAGTATAGGAGGTGTGGCTATTGAAGGGCTAGACACTCCCTTGAAGGGCTAGACACTCCCTTTAAAATAGCGAAAGAGTATGTGAGGATTCTAGGTGTGAACATAGGAGACAATGTAAAAGAAGCTAGAGATGCCACATGGACAGGAATATTAAATAAAATAAAACAAGTTTTACAATTTTGGAGATTAAGGGAATTAAGATTAAGAGGGAAAGTAGTAGTAGTTAATTCATTATTGCTTACCAAATGTAACTATGGGATGGGGGTAATGGACTTACCAAATTGGGTGTTGAATGGAATGAAAGAGACTGTGAATATTTTTTTGTGGGGAGGGAAAGGAGTTAAAATATCAGCAAAAACATTAATAGCAGATTATAAGGAGGGAGGCTTGAAGCTGATTGACTTAGATGTTAAAAGAAAGGCAATAAGAGTGAAAACAATTAAAAAATATTTACATGATAAAGTAGAATATGGATGGAAAGGTTATATGAGAAATTATTTAAATACAAGTGGTGGATGTGGTGAGGAAGGATTGTTCATGGCCTTAAAAAAGCCAATGATTGAAAACATGCCGCTATTCTATCAGGAGGTATTTAGTACATGGGCTGAGTTTGTAGCAAATGTGGGGTATGAATGTGAGAATATAAATCAAGTGCATCATCAGCCAATATTTTTGAATCCAAAAATAAGGTTAGGAGGGAAACCATGGAATGTTCATGTTTTGTTCCGGGTGGTGGAGGCCTGTGTTCCAGAGAGGTCCTGCTCAAAACTCCTTTTAAAACACCATCGAGCATCTGGAATAGCTTCCGACTTTGATCGAATGTGGATTTTGTTCTCATAAGGAGGGCACCAGTAACCTGTAACCTATCAGGCATCAGGTCAATCGATTTGGCATACGCCCATATGTACTAGCGTTTTTTGTAGGTCAAGTTCCGGTTTGACAGACCCGAAATGGAACTTTAGCTCCTTTAGCTACTGGGTGAAATTGTATCCCCAACAACAGATATGGCTTAAACAAACAAAGTACACTCTGAGCCTGCCTCTAGGCTTAACCCTGACTTTACCCGCAAGACGCTATGCCAAGCCTGTGCGAAATGTGAGGCTCCGGATGACGGGCGCAATTTAGGCACGGATAAAATCCGCGACCAGCCCCAAGCAGCTCACAGCGGCTGCCCGGCTAGCTCAGTCTGTAGAGCATGAGACTCTTAATCTCAGGGTTGTGGGTTCGAGTTCAAACCTCGGTGGGACCTGCTTCTGCCAGGAATGTGTGCAGGACCTCGTCCGAAAATGTTTTTTCGACAGCGCTGATCCTCAAAAGGTAATCTAGGGAGTGCCCCTTTGAAGTGAGCGTAAAAGGGCGGTACACCGCGTGGAGAATGCGGGCATCGATCCCGCTACCTCTCGCATGCTAAGCGAGCGCTCTACCATTTGAGCTAATTGAATCCAGTGAACTGAGTTCAAATCCCGGTGGAACCTTTTCAGCTTGTTTTGCGGAAGGGCGGGAAAAAACAGAGCTGATGCGCAACTGCTGATGTGGCGGTGAAACTGGCACTCTAAAAGCCAGTCGAGATCAGGGAAACATGGGCTTAAAAAGAAAAGGCTTCACTTGCTCTTTGCTGTCGCGCTTCTGGGCTGAATGACTAAACACCTCTGCTGCTCGGTGGGAAAAGGCGACCCACGCCAAGGTTCCATGGTGTAATGGTTAGCACTCTGGACTCTGAATCCAGCGATCCGAGTTCAAATCTCGGTGGGACCTGCTTTTGCCAGGAATGTGCGCAGGACCTCGTCCGAAAAAAACTTTTCTGATTCCACCTAGCCTCATCGCTATCTGCCTCTCAGACGGCCAGAGACCAGCGTGTGGTGGTTCCGTGGCGTAATGGTTAGCACTCTGGGCTTTGATTCCAGCGATCTGAGTTCAAACCTCGGTGGAACCTTTTTAGCTTGTTTTCCGGAAGGGCGGGAAAAAACAGAGCTGATGCG